TGTGTAGTATGTGAGTAGAGTTGTTTGTTGGTTCTCTCCTGTGTAGTATGTGAGTAGAGTTGTTTGTTGGTTCTCTCCTGTGCTTCGAGAGTTTTTCTGCGGATTCTCTGGTTTTCCTAGCCTCCTACGCAGACGTTCTTAGTATCTGTCATGCCACGTTTCCCTCCCCTACAGTTTCCCTCCCTCTTAAAAAATCAACTTTCCAATTCGATCATTGGGCTTTCACCTAGTTGGAGCCCTATTATGATTGTCCCAAGCTGTGTTACAACAGCTAAAGCTTAATAATATTTTTAAATTTTTAGAAGCCCATCATTTTATGTGCATGGAACACTGACTGATTTATTTTTTTCATTTAAGATTAAACATTCATTGTTTCAAGACCTTAACCAGATGTTTACAGAACAGGTAGAAAGTCTACGCAAGGAATTAAAGGTAAGAATTAATAGGAGGTCCCTTAACAGTACACTGCGCCATCTTGAAAGGTAACCATGCCTTTGCATCGAGGCGAGAACGAAGGTTACCTTTGAATGACAAAGAATGAACCTGGAGCAAATTACTTACACTCCAATATCTCAAAAGCAATTTAAAAACCTAGCTCTAAAAATAGAGAAAAAAGGCAATGAAGTAAACGCACCAACGCTTAACAGTAATCTTATATTAATTCCGCTTTCAGTAATAACATGCTTATTCGAAAATTTCATCTTTCCCTTGAAAAATCTAAAAACAATTTTTAGTATTGGATTGTTTGCGTCCGCGTATTTGCGATTTGAAGTTGCATGGTAGCGCGCGGATAAAACTCCATGAAGCCACCTTAACGTAAGGTTTATCTTTGTTCACATTTAGCGTCCCATATTTGTTGTTTGACTGGACTTTAACTTCAGGTTTGTCTTTGACTTCATTTAGGAAAAAGACGATGTCATCAATGAACTACTTATTAAAGTTGAAAGAATCGAAAAAGCAAGTGCTGGTCCGAAGCATGGACTTTGATGCTACTTCTTCCATATCATACGTCTTGTATGCACCCCTTGCAGCACGTCGGAATGCAGCTCAATTTGAAGGACATAACACAGGTTTCCAATTCTTAGGAGATTGAAATTTTTCTTTTGTCCTCCAAATTGAGCTCCTTTAACATAACATGCAAGTGTCCTATTAAGTCTGACCACAGGATATTAGATCTTCAATAAATCCCTTGCAGTACGTCGGAATGCAGCTCAATTTGAAGGACATAACAACAGGTTTCCAATTCTCAGGAGATTGAAATTCTTTTGTTTTGTCCTCCAGATTAAGCTGCTTTGATGTTACAGACAAGGGGTCTATTCCATGGTATCCATTGTACAAATTGTTGTTGATCAGTCTTAGAGTGAAGGCATTTAACCCGTGAAATACAAAATATTAGTCAACGTGTAATAGTCAACTAGACACAAAAGAAAACAATGGAATTAGGGTCTACTAAAGGGTATTAATCAAATATCTATTTCACGGGTTTAATGACTTCACTCTATGGTAATGAGTCAATTCATTATGGACACCGTTAAGATACGTTTATTCGCCTGATGCAGTTATATAATATTATTTATATTAATTATATTTCCTCTATCCTCAGAGGCCTAAAAATTAAAATTACATATTATTATCGGATAAAGTTTCACTTACTTCAATTGCATAAAAAAATACCGTGAATTATATGTTGGTATTTTTGAATCCAAAATAAAACTTCACCAATGCAAGCTTGGTATTTGATATGATTTTCAGTTTAGATAATTCTTATTTTCAGAGACACTTCATGAACTAAGTATTTAGCAAACGTACTGAATGGTTCCTCTGGTAGAATTTCCTTTATTCAATCGCATTCTTCTCATTGCCAACTCAACTCGAATCGACTCCTAAATTCCTATTTGATCATGGAACGAGGGCCACAGGTCCGTTAATTAGCCACTGGCTATTAAGTACTGAGACGGGACGGGATCGGGATTACAAGGACATAACTGCGCACACATCTAAAATTACTTCACCCGTCTTCCGACAAGTAGGTCAATTTTTGCATCGGTCCCCGTTTCTTGGAGCATGCGTAATCATCATTTTCATGTTCAACAACTGTCTTTCCTAACGCGAGAAAAGAAACAACGGTACCGACTTTGCGTACTAATCTAACACTTTTATTTCAAGTGTGGACCAGCTTCAATAAGACAATAGAATAGGAACTTTAATTGACTTATATTTCGACTTATAATATTTCTGTTTCGTCGTAAAAGCAAACATTATGTACTTATTGACTGAGTGGGAGGGCTGTAAATATTCGGCTCGAGGTGATGCCGTACGGACCGAGCGCAGCCAGGTCCGTACAAATGACCGAGAGCCAAATATTTTCCCGTACGGCCCGACCTAACTCAGTCAATAAGCATTTTATCATATGACCCTCACGAAAAGAAAAATAATAAGAGAAAAGAAAGAAAATACGGTCGCAGGTTTCGAGCATGGCCGTAAGGATTCGTACGGCCCTGCTCGCTCAAAGCCGTACGGCCCTGCTCACGCCATTTTCCCGAAGGTTTTTTTGTGCGCCCGGGCAGACACGGGTCATATGATAAATACAACTACGAGACTACAAAATACCTTTATTTTACTCGCCAGRACATTTATCAGGATTACATCATTTGATAGCAGAGAAAGATTTGCATGCAATGATAGTTCACTAGATTTTACCATAGTGCACTGATGTTTATAGATATACAACATTAAAACAAGTCGAATAACAATGAGCATGAGAAGTCATTTCAAAGCCTCCAATATCGGACTGGACGGGATTTCAAGTCCAAGCAACTAATTGCTTGGACTTGAAATCCCGTCCAGTACTCATTGTCGGCTTTGAAATATTACTTCCTGCATTGCTTTAAAGCGCTTAGATTTCTTAGCTCTGCCATTGTTGCATAGCTGCCATCAACTTTGACCTAATAACACAAGACAATATGTTATGGACGAATCTTTTTTAAGTTGTTATTCATTGATTATTTTTTGTTTAAAGACTTGCCAATGCGACAAGGCCATGCAGCGCCAACTCGACCCAGGTTTTCCTTTAAAATAATAACACTTTTTCTCTCTTTCATCTTTCCTTTTTATGATTGCAAATTGGTCTGCAAACCTAAAAAACCAGTTTGTGTCTAGATTTTGCGACGTGCTATACATCGAAATTGACAGCAACAAAAATACATGTTATAACAAAATTCTTTTTATTATTTACAAAATTCTTTTTTATCTACGCTATGATAATAATTATCATTTATTATTTTTTCTTTTTTCTTTTTTTACGCAATCAACAAGTCTAACGTACCCCCTCTTAATACTTTATAAAAACTGCGTCATTTTCCTATTTTTAGCTCATCATTAATTTTGTATTTTAGGATTTTGACCCGTGGTTTAAGTCATATTTACAAAGATAGTTCTCTGCGTAGAGATGTTCGTAGGATTTTTTAATATAGGAAATACAAAATATTCTTCCGTTTGCGACCCAAAACTAATCTTGAGCTTGCTAGACTCGTCTGATTATTCAAGCAAATTAATTAGCTTGAGGTTATCATTATTTTAACGATGACATTCTGTTATTATCACAGATGATCAACTTGTTTTCTTAAAATCCTTCCGACTCGAAATCATCGCTTAGATTTTCTTGATAAGCCTCTTTCCTGTTGATACAAATATATTTATTATATTAATAACAAGTAATAATATCCATTGCTGTATTTTTCAATATTAATACAGGAAAACTTTGCATGTTTTTTTGGAGGCTGACGTTTGTATGCGTAAAATGAATGGCACAAAATAATTACTCTTGTCTAAGGGATTTCAAGTGGAAATAGTGCAGATAGCAACGGTCAAAGTTCAGCTGAATTATATTGAACTTGTTTTTGCAAACTTTATAAATATAGAATGCCACACAATGCAAACTAATATAGTCAGTTTTTTTTAAAGTTGAAGTTGTTCATGAATTATCATAATATTTTTCCACTGAAAAATGTTGTACTGTGTGATTTGGTTTTTCATGGCGAAACAAGACAGTATTCGAATACAGCTACTTCAGAAAAGGTTTATGATTACCAAGCTTGAAATGTATAATATTCATAAATAGATCATTAATGTCAACACAGAAAAAAAAATTACCGGAAAACGTGCAGACAAAGTTTGGAACAAATCCCTATCGTTGTGAACCTTTCACTGCCGTGCTATGCGTTACGTACCCTGCGTCCTATGACGTTCCGTGCCGTGCCATGCGTTACGTACCGTGCGTCCTATGACGGACGGAGAAAACTGACCTAAACAATTATCGCCCAATCTCGGTCAT